GCCTTCCGCGGACCGCTAATCCTCTCTTTCTCGATTTGACAGCATCAACCTTTTCGCTGACGTCACATTATTATTTTTGAGCACTAGTGATGAATACTAAATATTCATGTTGTACCTATTTGCCGAAAAGTTGTACCTAAAAGTAGATACACGTACCTAAACAGTAAACATTTTCTTTTATGTGCATATATTTTGGACACTTGGCGGACCACATCTTCCATCTGTACCATAACAACATTTGGACTTACATGAAACAATATTTTACTACGTTCCAAATGTACCTTAAATAATGTGATTGTACCGAATGTAGTGATAGTCATTTGATTGATCATATGATACTCACTGGTGATGGAAATGTCCATCAAACACTCCCACCACGTTTTTGAAGCCAATGTGCAAAAAATGATGAAACCAATGTATACATGTGATCTTTTATCTTCTTTCAACTTATGGCCTCATTTAGTGGTATCTTTTTAACCAACGCAAAATTTGCAAATGTGTTAGTTTACATCACCGAGTTCTTTTAGGGCATCGATACTGACTGTATAAAAATGAGTACTTTAATACTCGATACCTTATTTGGCGATTTTACTCGATACTTTGCAAAGTACTCGTAGTATCGAAAACTTTTTAAAAAACACACTTTTTAAATTTTTTTCTTCCATTGGCAACCCAATTTTCTTTGCTTATATGGATTACTATCATTCAATTTTGTCTATCACTTAAAATAAACTGAAATTTCGTGTAGTCTGTTGCATAACATAAACCAAATAAGTTATTCATAAAAAATTAAGTAGGTTTAAAGTGCTTAATAAAATGGCCTTTTCTTACACTATTCAGTTTATAAACCTTTTTTGTTTTTTATGAATAAGGCCATAAAACTTTACGCAAAGTTCACGAAAATGCACACTTTTTAGAAACCTTTTGGGTATGCAGTTTTGTAACCTATTCAACTTTACGTGTAGCCTACTGCCGTTGACTTTTAATTCAGACTTGCACATTCTCTTCTTCTTCTTCTTTTTTGGCGCTGTAACCGCTTAAGCGATTTTGACCGAGTTCAGCAAAGCACGCCAGTCGTTTCTCCTCTCTGCCAACTGACGCCAAGTGAAGCCAAGTCCTTCTCCACCTGATCTTTCCATCGCAG